TACAAAGCTGTAGTAACCAAAACAGCATGGTATTGGCATAAAGACAGACACTCAGACAAACAGAACACAATAGAGAACTCAGAAATCAACTCACATCCAGCCAACTGATCTTTGACAGAGGCAACAAGAACATACATTGGGAAAAGACTGCCTCTTCAATAAATGGTGCTGGGAAAAGTGGACCATCCCTATGTAGAAGAATGAAACTAGAACTGTACCTCTCACCATATATCAAAATCTACTCAAAATGGACTAAAGACTTAAATATAAGACCTGAAACCATAAGACTCCTAAAAGAAAACACAGGGGAAACACTTCAGGATTTTGGACTGGGCAAAGACTTTGTGAACATGACCCCAAAGCACAGACAACAAAAATAAAAATAAATGAATTGGATTATGTCAAACTATAAAGCTTCTGCACAGCAAAAGATACAACAGCAAAAAGACAACCTGTAGAGTGGGAGGAAATATTTGCAGACTATGCAACTGACAAAGGATTAATATCCAGAATGTACAAGGAACTCAAACAACTTTAACAGTAAAAAACCAAAAATAACCTGATTAAAAAAGATGGGCAAAGGAACTGAATGGGCATTTCTCAAAGGAAGATATACAAAGACCAACAGACACATGAGAAAATGTTCAACATTAATCTGCATCAGGGAAATGCAAATCAAAATCACATTAAGATACCATCTCACCCCAGTTAGGCTGGCTATTATCAAAAAGACAGAACAACAAATGCTGGTGAGGATGTGGTGAAAGGGGAGCCATCCTATACTGTTGGTGGGACTGTAAGTTGGTGCAGCCATTATGGAAAACGGTATGGAGATTCTTTAAACAACTTCAGATAGAACTGCCATATGATCCAGCAATTCCACTGCTGGGTATATATCCAAAGGAATGGAAAGCATTATGTTGAAGAGATACCTGCACCTCCATGTTTATCGCAGCTCTATTTATAATAGCCTAGAGTTGGAACCAACCTAAATGTCCATCATCAGACAGCTCAATAAGGAAAATGTGGTATATATGCAAAATAGAATATTACTTTGCCATTAAAAAGAATGAAATATTGCCATTCACAGCAACATGGATAAACTTAGGGAAAATCATATTAGGTGAAATAAGCCAAACACAGAAAGAAATACCATATGTTCTTTAGTGGGAGCTAAAATAATAAACATGTAAATAAAAGAAAGAAAGATATAGCATTCACAATAATACATTGAACTTTCAAAAGGAGAACTGAGGTTTAGAAGTAGGAAGGGGGGGAGGGAGGAATTAGTAAAGGGCCACGAATAGCAATGACAGTGTATATTATTGAATATAATAATTATTCTGATTTGAGCATTAAACAAACAAAAGCAAAGAATTCTTATGTTCTCACTTCTTTGCTGTTGGGAGCTCTATATTATAGCTTTATGTCATGAGTCCTAGCTGAGTTTGTATTTGACGTAATTCATCAAATAGGGTTAATTATTAGATAAAAACAACCTGATCTTATTGTAAATATTTCTCAGCATTAGGTAAAGAGTGTTAACTATTTTTAATCACTTTACTATTTCTGCTGTGATTTGGCTAAGATCCCAAATTAAAATCTTCTATTAAAAAAACACAATTATATGACTGGATAAGTCAGTGAATCCATTTTGGGCCTGAATTTTCTTTGTATGTAAAATGAAAATGTTAGGTTAACTGTGGTCTGTCTACCTTTAAACCTGCACAATTCACAAATGTAAGAGCTCCACAGTTTTTGAAAATACTGCTGGCCTAACCTGAATTATAAGTTTTGGCTACTTTGTGCTCCAGATGTTTTACGCATTTTTTACTTTTTTTTTCAGGATTATTATAAGACAGGAATAATTCGTTGTCCTGATGGCATATCTATTCCTGAACTGAGAGAAGCATGCGACTATCTTTGTATTTCTTTTGAATATAGTACTATTAAATGTAGAGATCTCAGTAAGTATGATGTTTTCTGCATGAGTGGTTTGTAGAATCACAGTATATTGGAGTGAAAAGACAGAAATAGCACTGTTTACCTAGTTAGACTTCAAATATTTGTTTAATTGAATTCTAAAGCATCCCAGTATCATGAAGATTATTTATGTAAACCTGCAGAGGTCTTAATAATCTCCTTGTGCAATTTCCAAATATTTTTCAACTTCAATAATTTATTTTTGGGGGCCGGCCCGGTGGCGCACTGCTACAGTGCGCCGCTTGGGAGCGCGGCGGCGCTCCCGCCGAGGGTTCGGATCCCACATACAGACCGGTTCCCGCTCACTGGCTGAGCGAGGTGCGGGTGCAGCACCAAGGTTTGCGATCCCGTTGCCGGTCCCAGTCCGGTACGGGCGCGACACTGAGGGTTGCGATCCATTGCCGGACATGAAAAAAGACAAAAAAGGAAAAATAAAAAAAATAATAATTTATTTTTTTTATGAACTCTCCCAGATTTCTTCCTTGACTATTTCCTATTTCATTTGTTATCAGTCTTTATCTCCTAGCTTGAAAGTCCTTGCTTTGGTCAAGTGTGATAATTTGGCCTCATTCCTCAGACTACATTATCCAAAAACTTATAAATTTTTTGTATTACCATGTAAAATAATATCTGGGGCACTATGGAAGATACAAATAATTCTCAAAAACAATGCTTGTCATCAAAGATCCTAGATTGAATCCCTTGCCCTCATTTATATATAGGGTGAAGTGATTTCATCCAAGAACTTCTAATATGGTCTCAGAGCAGGGTCTAGAACTTTGGAATCTCAGCTCTTTGATGGGTATTCTTCTCTTACCGCTTCCCCAGCACCCCACCCCCTTATTCCATGCCTGAGAAAAGATATGATTATACACAAAGAAGTCAAAATAGTATATGAGAAGTATCAAATGTTGAATATTTAATGGTTGAAGTTCAGAGGAAGGGGAAATTATTGTGGGCTAGAGAGATTGGGAAAGAGCTCAGAAGAGGAGGAGACAGGTAGTAAGAAATGAATAGGAATGATTTAGAAAGAGTAGACTAGGGAAGTATTCTAAGAGCTGAGATTTTTAGAGTAAAGATGCAACAGGTATACTTTGGATATAACCTAGTTGAAGCAGAGGCTTTATATCACGACCAGAAGGAGATGGGGAATAAATAGATAAGCTAGATTATGGAAGGTCTTTAATACCAAACTAATGTTCTTACATTTTATCCTGTATACAGTGGCAAGCCATTTAAAAGTTATATACATGTGGTTTATAGCCTTATGCTAGCTCTGTGCATTTGGTTATTTTTACTTCGTTATCTAAGCTCAACCCTACCTTGGCAGAGTGGTGTCATACTTTCTCAGAGATAGGTGTGTTAGAAACTCTGTGAATGGGACATTCTTAAGGCACCTACTATAGACCTAAATACAACCACGTTCAGTTATGATATAACTCCTAGAAAATCAGTGGCATTGTTCAGTCTGTCACTAAGCACCGTGTTTTTTTCCAAACATTTTTTAAGTCTCCATAAAAACATTGATAAGGTGGGAAAAGGAAGTGGATGGTCCATCTCTGAGTCTTTTTCTCTATAAATGATATTTATTTATTTATTTACTTACTTATTTAAACTTCTTTTTTGGTGGTTGGCCAGTACAGAGATATGAACCTTTGACCTTGGTGTTGCTACTCTGCACTCTAACCAACATAGCTAACTAGCCAGCCCGCTATAAATGATATTTAAGAGTTTAAAGTCAAATTGTTAGACAGCTGGAACATACAACTGTAAATGTAAACAAAGTTACTGTTTTTTTTTCCATATCTCAAAAAATGGGTTTAGTTGATACCATGAGCACTATGGATCCTTGATTTCAAGTTTTGTGTCTTTTTATTCATGGGAACATTTTAATTAAGCGTTATATATTCAGATACTGAATTTTGGTGACTGTCAGATTTTTTAAAACACTAGAATTTCTTATAGGTGATGTGAATTTTAGTTTTGCAATCCTTTAGACATAGTCTATTTTATCATCACTATTAAGTATCTTTTATTTATTATGGAATTAAAGGTAAGAATTTCTATGTAAAATATATAACATACAATTTTCCTAGACTTTTGCTTTTTCAATAATATTTATAATTGTTTCTAGATTACTCGTAATGTGTTACTAAAAATTTAGATATTCCCAAAGACCTTAAAAAAACTATCTAAAATTTGAAGAGATAAAGGTGGTTTTATAAAAATATAAAAAAAAGAATACTTTAGGTATAGACTTCAGTCCAAAAATAATTTTTTTTCCCTGCAAATCTGTACCTTTACTTAATATTCAGAATGACACTTTGCACTAAAATGTCTTGGCTTGTCTCTTAACTTAAGAAGAAATTATATGAGTACTAAATGTTTGTTGAATAAGAGAAACCTGGGTTTCTTGGGCAAGTTACCTAAAACCCTGTTTCTTTAAAATGGAGATAATAATATTACCTCACAGAGTTGCTGTGAAGGCTATGTGAATAGTGCCTAACACAGTGTTAAATAAGAGTTTGCTTTTTAAAAAAAATAGCAAAATTAAGAAATAAGGATGAATGAAAAGAAAAAAATATTAAAGGGTCATATTGTATATTCTGTTTTATAATATTTCCACGTGGAAATATATTGTGAATAAGTTTATATTAGTAAATATCCTTTAATAACTTGTTTAATGATTGCATAGTGATCAGTCATTTATTCTGTATTTTTATTGAGCACTCACTTTATAGTAGGTATTATGTGTAAAAAAGGCAACGAAAAAGGGCAAGGTCCTGCTTGCAATATAGTAGGGAAGTCAGACAATTAAATTGTATTATGGTGTTAGAGGAAGAATATCCAGGGTGCTAAATGAGCATAAGGGCTGTACTTAACTCAGTTGTGGGGTTTGGGGAAGCTTTTTGGAGGAAAGGAAGGAGGAAGTGTGTTCTAGATAGAATGAATGGCATGTTCAGAGGAAGGAAGGTTGGTATAGGGACAAACTGTCTTCTCAATCTCCTATCATAGAACTTATGTATAGTGAAGGAAATATGGTAATTAGTAGCTCCCAGCTAGGCATCAGTGTCCACATTCTCTTCATAGGCCAGCATTGTAATCCAGAAGGAGTTTTGAGAGCCAGGGCTGAACTCATGCTAAGAGAAATGAAAAATACAGTGTCCTTGGGTGAAAGTGGAATGAAAAATGAAATTTAAAGTCTGGATAAAACAACAGTTCAGTGGGCCCAGGAAGAAGGGCATTATCCATGTAGGAGACAATGGTAGGGACTTCAACCAAAGACCAAAAAACTGAATTTACATTCAAGCCTAGTGAGAAAGGAAATTACAGGAACAGCCTGCCTCAAGTCAAAATGTAGAGACAGAATTTGCTTATGTGCTCCCCCTCAGCACACACACACTTCTCTCTCTAGTTCTTGCTCTGTTTTTCAGTTTGTGGCATTAAACCAGTTTGGACTTGAGGACAGGGACTATACCTTTTTGACTTTGTGTCCATAGTGTCTGGCACATAGTAAGGACTCAATATTTGTTGAATTAATAAATAATTTTATCCCCTCATTCATTTTTAGGACCCTATTCCACTTGTACCCTCTGGCATCATTAGTTTTTCCCTGTCTATCTATAGTACTCGTCAGGCTCAAACATGCTCAGATCTGAGCTATATCTATTCCAGACATTCAAAATATTCTCCTGGTAATGCCACAGTCATGGATTTGAATCCCCATACTAGCCACCTGACAAAAAAACCCCCACCAAAACCCAAAAAAGAAACCAAAAAAGTACTCATTTAAAAAAACTTCAGGTTTTTATTGGAATTCTTTCAAGTTAAGTTTTTAGAATTAACATATTTACAATATTGACTCTTGCTCCAAATGCTGTGTTTTTCCATTCATTCACACTTTTATGTCTTTAGGTAGAGTTTTGTTATTTTTTAAAAAAATAGTTTCTGCTCTGGTCAAGTTAATATTGATATTTTGTGTTTTTATTATTCTTATGTGTGGAATATGTTTAAATTTTTAGTTGCTAACATGTATATATGAGAAAGTTACTGAATTTTATACATTTATATTTAGCCACCTCATAGAACCCTGCTTGTTTCTAATAGTTTTTTAGCTGATTCTCATATATTCTGGCTAGGTAATTGACCCTCTTATAAAACACTTTTTATATCATTTTTGTCTTCTTAAATTGGCTACAAGATTTTGAAAATGTTAAAGTTAATGGTAACTATGGCATCCCTGTCTTTAAAGGCATTTCCTTTAGGTTTCACTGCTAAGTCACCCATTACTTTTTTTTTTTTTCAATTTTTATGTATTTATTTTAACTTACACATTTTAAAAAAATTAACAAATGAATTGTATTTCTACACACCAGAAATGAACAATCCAAAAGTGAAATTGAGAAAAAAAATTTCTTTTACAGTAACGTCAAAGTAATAAAATGCTTAGGAATAAATTTAACCAAAGAAATGCAAAGTTTATACTCTGAAAACTATAAAACTGTGTTCATAGAAATTAAATGGAAAGATTTTACATGATTGTGGATTGGAAAACTAATATTATTAAGATGGAAGTGCTCCCAAGTTGATATACTTATTCAATGAAATGTCTATAAAAATTCCACTTGCACTATTTTACATTCTCACTGGAAATGTATGTGGGTTTCAGTTTCTCCAAAAGCTCAGTAACACTTGTTATTGTTTGTCTTTTTGATTATAGCCATCCTAGTAGGTTATGGTCTAATTTGTATTTCTCCAGTGACCAATGATGCTGAGCACCCTTTCATGTACCCATTCACCACATTTACATCCTCTCTGAATCAGCAACCTTCACTGAAATCTGTTGCCCACCTTTAAATTGGTTAAATATTTTTATTATTGATTTTTAAAAGTTCTCTATACACTCTAGGCACAAGACTTATCAGATATATGATTTGCAAAATTCTCTCCTACCCTTTGGGCTGCTTTTTCTTATTCTTAATAG